AGGTAAATACCTAATATAATAATATAATAGATTAATTTCTAGTTTTTTTTTGTTGAACTAATAGGAAAAGTTAAGTTATTTAGGTATTTGCAGAAGTCAGCAAACAGTAATCATTATTTTCAGATTATTGGAAAGAGAAAGTTGAAAGTTACAGAGACTGGTATCGCCGTGAGGAACATGTCCGCTCCGAAGAGTCCCTTAGGCCAGCTACACTCAATACAATCCAAACGCTATTCGGACTTCGGAGTTAAGGGCTCCTTCTGAATATTACAGAGTGATTAATAAAATACATTATAAATAATTTCATGTAAAAATGTTGATACCAGTTTTTATATAAATAATGTAGTGTTGTGTTTATAATATATAAAAAGTAATAAATGAAAATATTTGCTTGTTATGTATTAGTAATTAGACCAATCGGAATCCGTTTTTTAAGAGAATTTTTTTATGGAAAACCTAAAGTTTTATGATTTTAAAATGTTAGCAGGCATATAAGGGATAAGTACATCAAAAGAATGTACTAGACAATTGTAGGTTTTAAAAAAGGCCTAAAGAAAAATCTGCAGTAGCAATTAAGTTTTTCTTCTAAGGTACACTCGCAATAACTATTTATATCTATACAAAACGTACCTACTACCTAGAGGGACGCACCCGAGTGAAGTGAGGGTAAGCCGTTAGTTATAAATGATAGAAAGAATTTTTTTATCCTTTTAGACTGATCGGAATCCGTTTATTTTTAAGAGAAAAAAATTAATTAAAACCTGAAGTTTCATGGCTTTAAAACGATAGCAAGTATATAAGGAACAAAAATTCGTAAAATGCTCCCTCAGCCCAGCTACCCCCGAAAAATGAGGGGACGAAAAGCGTTGAAAAATAGTTTTTTTCAATTTCCGGTTTACTGTGATTTTCTATCGAAAAATATTTTTTACAAAAGTTGTACGTTTAATAAAAATCTAAAACTTTTATAAATAACACTTTTTACAATAACCTCAAAGTTTTCGAAATATTTGCAAAAAACTCGGTTTTTTACTTTTTCTTGTTTTTTATTTTTAATTTCTAGAATAATTTTTTGATTTCCATGAAACTAAGGGAATATTATCTTCGAAATATATATGATAAATTAAAAAAAAATGAAATTGAAATGTTTAGCCATTTCCGAGTAAAGTATGTTTAATGGTCTCGAGAGGCTGAAAATCACCCCCAACTACAAGTGGGCGTTTACATTAAAAAAAAATCGTTCAATTTTCAGATAGGACTCATTCTTTTCGTCTTGAAAAACATATTATGGTGTAAAAACACTCTTAACAATAAAAAAATTGGAAAAATCGATAATCTTTACTTCGTAAACTACTCTTTTTTCAATTATCATTGAAGTTTATAAAAAATTGGGACCAATTTTTTATAAACTGATTACACCAATGTATTTTTCAGGAAAAAAATAAAAAAAATGTCATCCTTAAGTTTTTAATTTGACGCTTATTATTTATACAATGTCTTTTGCGTTAGTTACAAAACTTTGCAGTTAGTTGCATTTTTATTATATGTATAGATTGTAACTAAGGCGAATCTGTTTATTAAATGGACCCAGTTATGCAAAAACAGCCATGTGCGTAAAAGTACCAACAGAGTTATAAGCATTTTTCTGTCGATAGTTGCACTTGGGTTATGTTTTGTTTTTCTGGTTATTTTAAAATTGAACAATATTTATATAAGTATTGTTTATTTTTTATAATTATTTTATTTTTTACAATAAAATGCTTATAACTCTGTTGGTACTTTTACGCACATGGCTGTTTTTTGCATAACTGGGTCCAAATATTTTTTGGAAACTATCAGAAACTAGCAGAACCCGCGGCTTCGCCCGCGTTGAATCTACAAAAAAAAAAGCTCTTTTGCTTTATGTTATATAGCTACACACCCTATCTATTTGGATTTTCTTCATATAAAAATACTTAAGCCGCTTTTGAAAAATGGGGAGTGGAGGTAGGATGGTGAAAAATACTTTACGATCTATTCTCATACCATAAAAAAATAAAAAAAAATCATTAAACTCGGTTGAGCTGTTTCGGAGGAATGCGACAACAAACAGGTTGACACGTAACATTTATTATATTAGACAATACAATAATAACAATACTAATGTGTTGTTAACCCATTTTAGATCACGGTAGTCAATCTCAATATAACTCATATACACAAGAGGTCCAATAGTGCCCCTAATAATGCATGTAATGCACACACAAGTGTACTCTCTATTGCTTTCACTTTCATTTTCCGATGAATGACAATGACAGAGAAATTTAAGACCCATGCCCGAAAGCATGCTTTCTGAGAATATTTAATATACGTTTATACTTAAAATATGAGTTTTTGCTATGATTAATTAAAATAAAATTATTTAATATTTATGTAAAGAAAAAATTAAATATTATAATATAAAATATAATAAATATACATCATTAAAGAGCCAAGGTCGCCGTTAATGACTATAGTAGGTACTACAATGTTTAAAATCACAAATAAGTTATATACTTTATAATTAATTTCTTGCATAAAAAATAGAAATGTATAATAATATTAAATTTATTATCTAAGAAAAAAATCACAGGCTAAAATTATTTTATGGAAGTAATATAAAATAATATATGTATTGAAGGCTCTTTTAGAAAATTAGAAGTCGATTAGTACAAATAAGTTTTCAGATTAGCCGAAAATATTATCCGATTACAAGAAAACAAAGGGATCTATGCTATAATTTATAAATATTATTCAAAATATACAATTTGCCTTCTATTTTACGGAAATTCTGTTTTAAGGGTTGTAAGACATTTAAAAAGAAAAGCTGTTGTTTAAAAAAATGTCTGTGTCACATCTTATCGAAATTAATTTAGTGGTAACTAACAGAATTTTATATAAATAATAATATTGTCAAGGATAAGCAGTGTGTTTTTATATTTGTAAATGTGATTATATTTATCCTAGTAAATATATAAAAATAAATATATTTGTAGTTTTTTTTATGCTTTGAATTTATATAGCATTATTCTACCATATCTTAATATCAACGGTATAACTGAAGCTTATGGCACAAGCCAAAAGGACGATGCAACCTTTTTGGACTGGTGGCTTAATTTTTTTTTCTTTTATCAGTAATGACATTTAGATTATAATTAGAAGATTCTGTAAGAGGGTTATTAAAAAAGAATTGAACCCGCTAAGCCGCTAAGCTAAGAATTGAACACACCAGAGATGTTGTAGTTGCTATTCTTTTTATAAGGCCCATAAGTTGTACTTATCTTGAATTTAAAAAATACAGTAGAATCTCGTATCTAGTATTTATTAAAAAAAAACGCTTGATAAAAAAGAATAGCAAACACAATATTTCGTGAGCTATGCGAGTTGGTTTCTTAGTTATGATATAATTATTATTAGTTATCATTCTTAGCGACACAAAATGATGGTAAAAGTTGCATACGCCTTTAATTTTGGTTAAAAACAAAAAAAAACATCATCGGACTGTGCGAGGTTAGGCATTGGTGAGCGCTCCTGATCGTCATACCCACTTTTAGATGACAATTGGCCAAAAGATGACTTTTACTTTACTTTTACTTTGCTTTAACTTCGATACACTTGGCCATGAAAATAATTGGTATTTTTTATAAGCGGACACTTTATTTTGAAATCAAAAACCACTTACCTTTTACTTACTTTTTGGATTTTTTACCTTGCTTATACTCAGAATTAATAAAATAACTAGATTACGTTTTATTCATCCAAGGAGATACAAGAAACAACAAAACGAGGTCATATTCAGTGATTGGTACAAGCAAAAAAAACAATAAAAACCGACTTCAAACAAAAGCACTAAAAAGTAAAAAATAACTGAATGGTAGTTTTCATTTACTATACATACCTAATCAAATATTTTCGAAATCGGTGCCAGCCCATACAAAGCCTTTGTATGGATTTTCCGATTTCAAAAATATTTGATTAGGTATGTATTTAATAGGTAGGCTTTAATTACTTAGCCAAAGCACACCGACTTCGAAAATATTTGATTAGGTATGTATAGTAAATGAAAACTACCAATCAGTTATTTTTTACTTTTTAGTGCTTTTGTTTGAAGTCGGTTTTTATTGTTTTATTAAAAAGATTTTATTTTTCCCTTTTTAGTGTAGACAGTAGTGCAAAGTAAGAATTCTAACGTGTTAAGCCCAAACTCAAAGTATCTACTATTAGCCGTTGAAGAGTTCCACCTATCCACCTTCTGGCCTTACCATCAGATCAGGTCAACAATACCGAACCACTGTACTATCAACGGAAATAAAAACACTTGCAAAGTTTCAAGTCAATATGACAATTAGAAGTAGGTTAAATTCATCATTAGCTATTTTTTCCACCCTTAGGGGTGGTATTTTTTTTTTAAATTTAAATGGGACCAATCTGGAAGTATACACTTCCAAACAACACAAAAATTGTCCAAATCGGTTAATAAATGACGGAGTTCTGAGGTAACAAACAGAAAAAAAAATACAGGCGAATTGAGAACCTCCTCCTTTTTGAAGTCGGTTTATAAAGAAAAATTGGAGCTTAGAGTCAGTAAATTATAAGTTTATCTAAGGTACGGGAATTGTGTAGACCTATTGTAAAATGATACGAACTTAGAACTAAGAATGTTTGATAACAGTTAATACTCACTGAATAATTGTTGTTTTAATTAAATTTAATAATGTGGTGTGGTACTACGTACCAAAAAAATTGTAATAAACCGGTTAAGTAGTGACACAAGGTTGCTGAAGTTATTAAGTGTTACAATATTGTTGCAGTTGCTATCACTGCAACTTGTTCAGTGCTCGTAAAATAATAATAATCGTCAAAAGCTCAGCTTTTTGTTATAGTGGCGTCAGAGTGATTAGAAGTCAGTTTAAGAACTATTATCTTGTTTTAGATTTTTTATATAGGCACATATTTTGTGTTTTAATAAAATAACCAATATTCAAATGGAGATCAGACCTTTGCCAGCGTTATTACAAGAAAAAGCAATCAAAGAAATTAATGAAGATCCAGACAGGATAGCCGTTGATATCAATGATCTAAGACGATGGTTTGAAAAGCAACCACATTTAGCTGCTATAAAACCCTGTGAGTAGATTAATTTTATAATGTATATATAGACATCTTCTTCCACAACCAGGGGTTGACTGGAAGAGATCTCTTTTAGAGATAAGTCCACCTTTGTGAACTATGTTTACTTTGTTATTTTTTTTCTGTATCATATTTTAAGTGCAATAAAGAGATTATAGATATTTGTTTTAATGATGAGGCCTATAATTTCAAATTATTTTCATTATATAATTTGTAAATTTGTACTATTTATAAAATATGCTGCCAATGGACTTTGTACCTACGAGCAGGTGGTTTTTTATTTGTTTAATATTTGCGTTGATGTAAAATTTTATTTTTCAAATAACTTTAACGAAAACAGAGCGCCATCTATTGACATATCTTGTAACTATTTACTCGGTTCTTACTCACTTTATGACTTCATATAAATACTCATAGAATCCGATAGGTGACGTTATAAATTGGATTATAATATTATAATACTGTCATAATGTTTTTAAAATTTATATGTATTTTATTCATTTAACAAAAATATAAATATTTTTCAGGTGATCAATGGCTTGTAGCATTTTTACGAGGGAACAAATATAGTTTAGAAAAAACTAAGAAGAAACTGGACATGTGCTACACTCTTCGAACAATAGTTCCGGAGATTTTTCAAAATAGGGATCCTTTCGATCCTATCATACAAGAAATATTAAAATTAGGGTATGAATGAATAATAATTTATAACAATCAGTCGAAATTAAAAAAGCAAATTACTTTTGACCCGGCTACGACGAAACTTTAAGGAGGGTTATGTTATGTGTTTGACCGTATGTGTGCACGCACACGCACACACACACACACACACGCAAATGCTCCGACTGCATAATACCTACTATTATATTTATTGACCTGTATGCATTGTAGATGTTTCTTCCTCAACTTGTTCTCATCTTTTTAGCTCGTTTTTACGCAGACGGTTTTTTTATTTTTGTAAATTATTTCTTTTGGAGTTTTATATTATTAATATATTAATTTAATTTAGTAGTTAAACAGATTTACCGTTCTAGAAACCATCTGAAAAAGATGGCTAAGTTCCATTCGAAACGGACTAGTAAATTCAAAGATATATATATTACCTGTAGACTAAAATATACGCAGAAGGTATTGTATATTATATATGAATCCATTATTGTTAATATATTATATAAATACGTCTACTAATGATGTATTCATATCTAAATAGATGTGCCTTACGTCAGCTGACACTGGCTCCAAATATGTACGTATGTATATCTGATTAGGTAGGTAACTATTGTAAATGAAAAATTTCGTCAGTTAATTTTTATTCGTTACTACATAGACAAACAAAAACCAATCTATTCCACGGGAACCGTACATTTTTCCGGGATAAAAAGTAGCCTATTTGTTATTTTGATGTATGGACTATAGTCTATATTATAGTAAAGATTCATTCAAATCCAATTAGTAATTTTTGTGTACTAAGCTGTATAAGTTACTATAGTTTTTTAACTATCCCACGGGAACTCTTTAATATTCCGATATGAAAAATATCTAAAATAATGACCGAGGATATAAGGTAACCACCACACAAAATTTCATTTAAATCGGTCCAAGAGTAGTCCGTACAAACAGACAAACAAACAGAGAAACAAAAACATTGGAAAAAACTGGATTTGTTCTATTTCTCTTCGTACATCCCCCTGACTCGGTTTTTACAAAAAAAAATCTATATACAGGTATTCGACCTCTACAATTTTATTAAACCTACGAGTATGTATAGACTTGTTGAAACCTTGAAATTGGGTTACATATTTTAAAATTGTCTAATGTTTTTAGTTATTATACTTAAATGATAGATTTTTAATGTAATCTATTTTATTTTTATTGTAAAGAATACTATATTAATAACACAAATATGGAGGATCGTAATAACTATTTAATTTTTAGAGTTTTTCTTCCACTTACGATAACGAAAGCGGAAGATTCATGCAGAGTATGCTTGCAGCGACTGGGAGCTTTTGATCCTTCGAAGTACAGGTTTATTGACCTCATGAAAACTATCTTTATGATTGTTGACATCCTGATACTAGAAGATGACAATTTCGTTATAGCTGGAGAGGTGAGTATTGTTAACCTATTCCCTAATTCTTTATTTAAATGAGATAAATATTATAAAAATTAACCTTAAATTACTACTAAAGAAATTAAAAAAATATAAAAGAAAGTTTTTTACTTTGAAACTTTAGAGGAATGATGTTTTATTCCTTCAGAGCTCCATTACAGATAGAAAAAATGTCGAACTGTAAAGCATATGTAGGTACATTTGATTGCTTTATGATTTTAGCTTGCAATTTTTAGGGTTCCGTACCCAAAGTGTAAAACAGGACCCTATTACTAAGACTCCGCTGTACGTCCGTCTGTCTGACTGTCCGTCTGTTGCCTGGCTGTATCTCATGAACCGTGATAGTTAGACAGTTGAAATTTTCACCGATGATGTATTTCTGGTGCTGCTATAACAACAAATACTGAAAAACAGAATAAAATAAATATTTAAGGAGGCTCTCATACAACAGACATGATTTTTTGCCGTTTTTATAGATAATGGTACGGAACCCTTCGAGCGCAAGTCCGACTCGCACTTGGCTGGTGTTTTACATTTATTAATAAAAAATTATAATCTAAAGCCATAAAGAATTGGGTTGAATTCCACCAGCATATGACCACATTGTATACTAGGTATCCCGTGTCACTCCGCGAGGACATCGAACTCGCAAACAATAGCATCAACTAGTCGTTACAATACGATAACTCATTTTATTTTATTTAAAACATTTTTTAAACAAGAGATAAATATATATACATTTCCAGGATATATTGGTAGATCTAAAGGGAGTAGGTATAAGTACTTTTAGTCAATGGACTCCTTCAATGGCTAAGAAAGTGATAACGATTTTCGAGAAAGCTTTACCCATTCGAATGAAAAGCAGTCACATTTTACATACTCCCTATGGATTCGAAGCAGCGTATTCACTACTAAAGATTTTTTTAAGTGAAAAACTAACAAAAAGAGTGAGTATTATTTGCTTTTATCTTTATGTAATATTAATTTAAAAAAAAAAATATAAGTAATCTTCTACGTAACTAGTACATATCGATACATGTAAAGTACCTTGACTTAGCAGGTTTATCAACGTCTAAACCAAACCGCTGGACCTGTAGGGGTTTAATTTCGACAGCTTATTCCTAGTAAAAAAAAGAACCCTTTAAGGTATAAAAGGCTCAGTTTCAGATATATTCGAATTAAACAAAAGTAGCCATTCGAAAGCCGGCACTATGTTGTAAATTAGTTTTCGCCTGCGGCTATAGCAGCATGAAAAGTATTTCTCTAATTTTTTTAAATTTCGAAATTTCGTGCTCAACTAAAATGGCTTCCGGTCCCCCTTCGCTGTAATATGCATATCTTTTCACTTCCTCCTCCTCCAAATAACCAAAATTCTCATTCGTATCTCGATGGCCTTGCGTTCTGCAGGTGCTGGATGTTCCTGGAAGTAACTCATTCACTGTTCGTGAGACTTTATTTTAGAACAATAAACCTATTGTATATGTATAATATGTTTTAAAAATAATAAAATAGCACTATTTTAACACAATATAATCATTTATCATCATGGAAAAATATAACTTAACTGACATTTTCTATTTTTTACCCGATTGCCGCGAAGCCCAATGTAAGGTTATGTGTTATCCAGGATGTATGCATTATAATATGTTCCTTCGTCAACTTGCTCTCATCTTTTAAGTTCGCTTTTTGTGCAGTCGTTTTTTTTTGTAAATTATTGTTTTATATTTGTAATGTATATATATATTATATTATTTATATATCATATCTTAAGGTTGTATTATATTTACAAAGTATAAGTATGTAATGAAATATGACGTATAATATATATTTTTTTTCGTATATCTTCTGGCACTAAATTGATCCGCTACATAACCCTATCTCCCACGTCCATGAGTTGACTGGAAGAAGTCTACCGTATAACAGATAAACTACCTACAATGATATTTATTTATTATTATATTTGCCAAATTTCATGGAAATCGGTTTAGCCGTTTATTTTACGCGTGATTAACAAACAAGCTTACAATAATTCACGTATTTTAGACTATTAGTAGGATTATAATTAATTATATAGTACGATAATTCTGCTCGTAGCGTTGCATCTCTTTGACTCTGTATCGCTCGTAGGCAGTAAACAATGTCGCGCGTCTATGTGGCGTATTCTTTGATGGGTGTTCTGGTATAATAGTGCGTGGATTGTTTGATGCTTTCTTGCGCGGGTGCAGCGCGCTAAGACCCGCCCAAACACTCAAGGCCATTGGGGACACTAATCGCCTTAAGATGCAATGTCTGTATTGTTTTACATAAAGTAAATAAAAAAAATGTATGCTTTTTGGGTATTTTAAAACGTTTACAAGTAAAATGTGAAGTTAGTTGAATTATATATTCCACAGGTAATTAATAAAAAAAATATCATATTTTTATTATCAACAAGATTTTCATAATGTAATCTATACCTATTGATCATATAGTTATTTAGATAATTATAAATTTCTGTGACAAAAAGTGAGCCTGTGACTTCTTTTTTTAGAAATTTTCAAACTAAAATCCTCTTTGCAATATAAACAGGTGCGTAAAATTTCCATCTGACATTTTTGGAAGACGATGAAATATGAAGCACTTCTTCTTATATTTGACAACATAATTAATTATGTTAAATAAGATTTTTTTGTCATACAATTTTCAAAAGACACTTGCTTTTTATTTGTGTGCATATATTAAGCCTTGTTTAAGTAGAAAATTGTGATTTATCAATACATTTTCAAATAATCTTTTAAAATATTTTTTTTATACTTTGTATGAATATTACGATAAACCGTTTTTTTTATAATTTTAATAAAAGGTTCTTAGGTGAATCTATATTAATTTCAAGGGGAACTTTCACCATCTTTCATGAAGAGAAAAATCTCTAACAATAATGACAATAAATCAAATTATTCAAAATGTATAGCTAAATAATAAATAAACTAGCGACTAACTGCATTATTTTCTGATTTTAATTAAAGCAACTATCATTTCTGATAATTAAAACATTTTCATTTATATAAAATAACCTTTAGCCCTGGGCGGTAATGTAGCTTCCTATAAATGATAGAATTTTCAGAATCTCATCAACAGTTTAAAAGCATTATTGCATTTACATCAAATATCATTAAAATCAAAACTTGCTAAAAAATTAGATTCGCAAATATTAAAAAATAACACTGAGGAACAGTATTAATAGATAACCAATAAAATAAAGACAAATTCGATTCAATTTTGTACAACGTTTGTTAGTGCCGTACTATTTGCTAATCATACTTACATACTAATATAGAAAACTAATGAATCTTTTGTTTGTTTGAAGGCGCTAATATTTGGTCCAGCCAACTTCTAACAAAAATCTAAACAAAACCAGTCTTGTATAGATTTTTTTATTTGGATTTAAAACCAATTTATTGATACTATTTTAACACAATATAATTCTTTATATAATCTAAAGATGATGAATATAATCCAAGGAAACTATATGTATATATATCAAACACAATATAATCTAAGGATGATGAATATACCTAATAATTAAAATGTTTATAAATCATAAAAATAAAATATTTATTATTCTAAGAATAGCTAATAATAAAAGTGAACATAGGTCTTAGACAAGATGTCGCTCTACAAACGTTGAAGAATAGAAATCTAAAAATATATTATGGGAATGATATATTTTGATTCTATGACAAAGTGATTAAATTTATCATTACAGTGCATTTTTTAAAACTTCAACGATTGTAGAATGACATCCTGTTTAACCCCCAGGTGAGACAATTTTGGTTGAAGTGGTTTCGATGTTACAATTATAATCACTTAACGTTGGTTAATCTATTCCAGTATTATATTATGAGGAAAAAATTGTTTTTTTGTTTGTTTGTATCGAATAGACTCCGAAACTACTGAACTGATTTAAATAAAATTTTGTAAGAAGATAGTTTGAGGACATAGGACAGTTTTTATCCCGGAAATTAAGGGGGCGAAAATGGGGTTCAAAGTTTATATAGGGAAGCAAACTAGGGACGAACCCGAGCGAAGCGACGGTGAGTCGCTATTACTTAATATACCTGTTGTATAATCATTAAGATTATTGTTTAGGAATATCGGAGTTAAAGCTATTAAAGGATTATATAATTAGTTAATTGAGGTGTAATAATTATTGAAATACACAGACGTACATCATACGTAGTGTATTCACTGAGCTTTAATAGGAAATTATGATGTGTCAGTGCATTCAAACAATACCTTTGTTCTAGATTGAACTTTAATGATGCAAATCAGTTAATGGCTTTTAATGATTTTGTTACAGTTCTACGTGTACAGTCAAAAATTTGATGCAATGTACGAAGTGATTCCACGTAATATATTACCTAAGGAATATGGTGGGGAGAATGGATCTGTTCAGCAACTAACAGGTAGGCCTTGCTAATATTATAAAAGTGAAAGTCTGTCGGTATTTTTCTTTGTCTTAGTTATTTTTGTTTGTTATTTTATTTTAAAGACGTAAATTTGTATGTATATAGGAGAAAATTTCTGGAGCTAGTGGTAGCTAACTCGCTTATAGAGCTTTAACATCCCGGAATAACAGCTATTATTTAATAAGGTATCACGCGAGTGGAGCCATAGTCTAAAACTAGAAAAATACCTTAAAATATAAAAAATAGAGAAAATCCGGTACCATGCAGTACCTTTTTACGATATGTTGCGTAAAGAGCATACATCTCAAAAATGGCCCCTCCATTTTCCTAATTCATACATAGGTTATCTAAGTATGTTTTTATGTACATACTACATGAGCGGAGCCGTGGTAAAATCTAGTACATTTAAAAAAAAATTGTGGGTATTAAATTGTAGATAGGAAACAACTTCCGTCTTTATAATACTTTCTTAGATTTACGCGAATGTTTGACATTTTTAAATAAAACTATCTTTTCGGATTATTTCGGGGATTTATTTTGATTTTTGGTTCCCGACGTTTCGAATGCTTTACAGCATCCATGCTCACGGGAGAGACTGAGGTGTTACATGTCTTGAAGGTATAGTTGTTACAGACAGCCTACCCACAATTAACAAAATGAAAATTGCACCAATTACATTACAATATTTTTTATTTAATTTTTGCTATTATTTTAATAATTATTATAATTTTTAAAATATTAATTAGCAAAACATATAATTTAAAAAAGTTAAAATTAATTAAGTAATTGGTGCAATTTTCATTTTGTTAATTATGGGTAGTCTGTCTGTAACAACTATACCTTCAAGACATGTAACACCTCAGTCTCTCCCGTGACCATGGATGCTGTAAATCATTCGAAACGTCGGGAACCAAAAATCAAAATAAATCCGCGAAATAATCCGAAAAGATAGTTTTCTTTAAAAACTTCCATCTTTATTAGATTCTACAATCTGAATCAAATATTTTTTTGTATTTTTGCATTTATTATTCAGTTCTATTTATAATTTTTTTTAAATAACATAATTGTATATATTAACTCTTTTAATTTCATATAGAAACAATTTACCTCTCATAAGTATGTAATTTAAATTAAAGTGAAAGTCATGTGTAATATGTTAATTTCAACTAAATATATAAATATACATTTTTTTTATCTTATATAATGAATGAATCAAAGATAATATGATGAAAATAAAAAATGAAAAAATTTATTGCACACTTAATTGTCTTCTTCTTCTCCCTGCCCATTTCCCAATCACTTGGGGTCGGCGCAGTACATCTTCTGTACTACTGATAGGATTTGGCACACTATTCAATTTTTATACATATTACATATAGATTCTAGTTCTTTTTGTTGAAATATGTAATAGAAAATGTTATTAAGGATTTTGCAGAAGTAAGTTATCATTATTTTCAGATCATTGGAAAAAGAAAGTTGAAAGTTACAGAGACTGGTATCGCCGTGAGGAGCAGGTCCGCTCCGAAGAGTCCTTTAGGCCGGGTGCACCCAATACAACCCAAACACTGTTTGGAGTCGAAGGCTCCTTCCGAAAATTACAGGTTGATTAAATGAAATTTTGGACCATAAAATTTATTGTAATTTAATGATATCATGTAAAGAAGTCGGTACCAGTTTTTATATAAATAATGTAGTATTGTGTTAATAATAAATAACAAAATAATAAAATAAAAATATTTGCTTGTTATGTATTGCTTTAAATATTAATATGAAATAAATATTTTACAAATGAATGTTTTAGATTTTATCCCTCCCTTTATTCACTAAATGTCAAATAAGTAATAACTAAATACAAACTTCCTATTAAATCGGCAATATATTAAAATTTTATTATTACAAATTATTGATATTTATCTTTTTTATTTTATTTATTTATTTGGATCCACTAGTGATAATTGAAAAATTTAAAATTAATTACACAATTTAACTTAATCCTAAATGTATTACGTTTTAAAGTGGATACAGCATGCATTAATTTAATTCACAATTTTAAATTTCGATAAATTAAAATATAAATAAAATTACAATAACATCATTACATATAAATAATCGGAATTTGAAAAAACAAACATTAAAGCTATTAAATAATATGGAAGCATTAACCACAATAAATAATTAATTAAATAATAAAAAAGAAAATTTAATTAAAAAAATAATTATAAAAAAAAACATATCTAGACTACCAAAATGTTCTTTAATAAAAAAAATACATAGATATGTTTTTAATTGAACATTAGAAAATAAAAAAAGTTACAAGTGCTTTGAATTAAACGCTAGATAAAAATATAATGTACATTGTACGTATATCGGTTAGCTCCTAGCATTTGTAAGTTCTCAAGTAGCTCACGATCCTATGTCAATAAACTCATTGCAGCCATATGCGCCTGCAGGCGACTAAAAAGACATTTTATCATTCTATTTAATAACTTTCTTTTTGTTTATAACCATGTTACATGAGCTTATGTTCATTAATTAACACTAAATAGTGTTTATAATACGAAAACATACTTTTGTACTAGAAATAATACTAGGCTTTGGAACGTGTAAATTTTACATTGCATATATATTATAAGTATTTGAATGAAATAAAATAATTGACATTGAAAGAAGAATAATCTCTAACAAGATAAAAATGTTACCTGATTCTTATTTTATTATCAAGGCAACCAAATATTCTAATAGCCTTCCAATAATTCTCTTATCATTAACACATTTTTATTATTTGGGTAACGATACGCTTGTCGCTTTAGCATCGAGGCACGATGCACTGACGTAGCCGCGGAGTGCGGGCAGCGTGAAGGGGCGCGAGCGCCGTCACACTGCCAGTCGTTTTTAGTTATCAAAGTGAGCGCATGTTGTATGTGCGCATTTAGTTTACGCGTTGATATGTTTACTTTTTCATACTTTTCTTGGTGCTTGTGCAATACCTGAACGTGCAGGTACCACAATGTCGCGAGATGATCTTGGAAATCGTTTTATTGACGAGTCTTCATCTGGACACGTCTCTGATGACGACGAAGTTGAGTTAAGAAAGGACAAAACAAGTGTTAAAGACATGATACTACGTTTTGAAAAAACTGGTATTAGTCTCAGTGGTTCTTGTGAATCCCTTGAGCGGTCAAGGGACGCTATGTTAGGTAGTTTAACTAGTGTTGTAAACCCAATACACCTTCATTTTCATCATCTCTGCCCAGTGCCTAGATCTCAAGACAGGAATTCGAATGTGTCTGTGAATTCTATATTATCAAACGTGTCGGAAATCAGCTGTGAATCGAGTTCGTCGGGTTTTGTATCAGATAGGAAATCTTCTTCTCTAAAGCCTCATCGGCCAGCACCTCCACCACCCGAGCCCTTTAACGATGATTCTTCTTTAGATAGTAAGTCCCCAGTACCAGAAGAACCAGCAGCAATTGAGAGGCGCTACTCTTTCACGACGCCTTCCTCATCACCTGTAGTACTGCGACGTTCAAGACAACCGCCCGTTATTCGACGGAAATCTTCAATAGGGAGTCAAGTGCGAATAGGAGAAACCCATTGGTCTTATGGTGTTAAACAAAGTGACTTAGAAAAATTACTGAGACTAAAATTGTCCGAACCTTCTGACAATGAAGACGAAATAAAAGCTAACGACGAAACAAGTACTGAGAGCTCATCAAATGAAAGCAGTAGTGATGATACAACAGATAGTGAAAAAGTAGAAACTGGCGAAGAATATATTATTAATATTGACGACGGTAGAACAGACACTTTATCGACCGATCAATCTACTGATACTTTAATTAATGATTATGAAAGTGATGATGGGGAGAATTTATCTGTTGCTTCTGAGGAACAGTGTAATTTTGACAATGTTAGTATCAAGTCTATATCATCTCTGGACATGGTACCGTATCAGAAATATGATAGTATTACAGTGTCTTCCGACGAGTTTGGCTCGGAGGTATGCCATGCACCAGATACAGAATTCCTTACTGTTAGTGCTGTGAACGAATGGTGTATTTCAAAGTCCTCAGAACCGGTTTTAATGCCGGTTCAATCTAAGAAGGAGAAATATCGAAGGTGAGGTCATTTCACGTTTTTTTTTTCATAAGAAATAGATATCTTTGTGAGGCATTGTCGTACATCGATAGCTGATAAGTCCACGTTCTACTATTGGAGAGCGGTGATAATAATGCATGTGATAATATGTTTGTGTCTTTGTTCAATTATCTATAAATATGTACGTAAAGGACGAATATTTTCATATCTTTACCAAATTGTTGTTATACTAAAACACATAATATGTAAAAAACATTTTTGTAATAAATCATTTAATCATTATTTTAAAACGCAATTACGCAATTCTGTGATAAAATGGTTCACAATACATTAAAATAGTTGACAGGTGATTATTGCACACAAGCACACTCAGCTGTCGTACTTGCTACGTATGAAGTTTCACCTTGATGTTTATTCATATGGTTCGAGGCGAATAGGTGTAGTTAGCACAGTTTAATTTACCTCAATTATCGAAAGACTTATTCAAAATGAATATTAAGACCACTGAGATAATTCATATCATTGATCTATAGATCTATATATATATATATATATCAACATAATATGGCTTCCTCTTAATAACAGTTAATTGATTCAGCTTGTGCACTGGATACGTTTATCAAATGTGCAATTTACTGACTCTTTTATCGTTATATATACTGCATAACTAAATAAATATAATGCCGTTAAAATATGTTACTATCGTAAATATGATTGTTCAAAGCGAACAATGACTACTTATTTCATATTTGGCCTTCAATGTTTTTAGTTTTTGAGACTAGTATTACTTAAAGCATTAAATAACCTGTTTTAGAGTTATTTTGTTGATATCTTGCTTAGATACTTAAGTCGAGATACAGAATATAATTTGCTTTTGACAGTTATCTACGATTATTTATTAATATTAAGTATCTTAATTAGCTCTTAAAACAAGTAATTCAAACGAACTGCAACACTTTCTTCATAAGCTAATTAATAAAATCTAATGTTTAAGAATGAATTCTCGTACAGTGCACTCACATAAAAAGCGTATAATATGAAGTTTAGTGGTTATGAAGTAAAATAGCGACTCACCTTCGCTTCGTGTTCGTCCCTAGACAAAAACAAATTTATCCCACGGGAACCGTATATTTTCCCGGGATGATATATTGCCTTATAGCTTTCCTCAATAAACGGGCTATCTAATGCAAAAATAATCGGATTAGTAGTTCCTGAGATTAGCGCGTTCAAACAAACAAACAAACAAACAAACAAACAAACAAACTCTGCCTCTTTATAATATTAGTATAGGTAGATCACACTCAATATTGAAATAGAATCTTCATTTTGGTCTCATTTTGATTATAGATTTTTTTTTAAATTTCAATCTACAGTTATAAATGAAAAATTGGAGTATCTACACTACAAGGTTTAATTGTCTAATTAATAATTTTCTATCTACGTAATTTTTCTAGCACGTTTTTTCCGTACTTATACAGTGGTTTCTAAATGCTAATAGTGCGTTAGATCTTTTTACGCACTTTTATATAAAGCGGAAATCAAGTTATGAAATGATAGAAATATACGCAGGCGAAGCCGTATGTAGGAACTAGTAAGAAACAATCGACTATTATGCTTATTCATTTTTAAGCAGTTTATGTTGTTGTACTGGCACTGGTATATTCAAAAGGCTTGCATAATACATTACGTTGAATACTACGAACGTTGTTTATAAACACTAACGCAATAGTTTTGCTTTTTCAGTCATACACATGAGTAAATCGTGATCTACCCTTGATTGTTATTTTATTCCGCTTTGATTTATTTATTTACTCAGTTACTAACAGATACAAGCTACTGTTATATTTTGTTAACAAAAAAGAATCTCTTTGAATTTGGAACTTTGGGTTTGAATATGTACAACTGAATTGTAATATTATATTATTTTTATATTTAGAAGATTGTTATTTTATTTGAGACTAGCATTGCCCACGGTTGCGCCCGCGTTTAGATGAACAAAACCAAATTCTTAGGTTTTACATATTAGTATACTCTTACATTGCAATTTTTGTATTTTTTCTCAGAAATGATACATTTTCTTGCAGTTAAAAGTATCCTATATGTTGACCCGGATAACCAGCTATCACCATACCAAATTTTATCCAAATCCCTCCAGTGGTTTTTCTGTGATGCGGTCACAGACTGACAAACAGACAGACAAAAATTCTAAAAACTATAGATTCAGCCTCTGTATAGATATTTCATTAAGATTTTCCAAAAAGCATTTAATATACAGATTCAGCTTAGTTACAATTTTATTATAATATGTAGATTATAGGTATAGATGATAAACACTAAATCTCAGGTAATAATTAAAGAATAGGGAATATTAAAAACAGAAATATGAGTTTTACAACAAGATCACATAGTTTAAAAATTAACATATGACTAACGACGTTAGAATCTAAATTAAAATGTATATTTTTACTATAAGCATTAATATGTATAACAATTTCGTCACATAATTTAGTAGTGGTAGGAATTTTGTAGTCATTTGAATCAAACATAATATATCAATTATTGTGACAGTTCATTACAGCATTGAAACTTTCAGACATTAATTATCGCATATTATTGCACATTCGGTGGCTGTTCGGTGATAATCATGTTTTATTGTGAGTAAAAAGCTGCTTCTGTCCGCTATTCATAATTATTCCGCAATTTTATTATCTCTTTTGCCGACTTACAATGTTTCGGGAATTGTTCAAATGCGTTGTGGCTAAAAGTTCCAATTTTTTTAATACGTTACTTTTATTTGGATGATTTTTGATACACATCTGTATGAATATCAGATTTATTGAAAATATTTGGTCGGTAAAACATGACTAAATTGATATTTACCTAAACGCTAAAAAATATATAGAGATATTCGTTTTTGGCTCTCAGAGGTAAATAACAGAACTTTTGATTATCTTACTGTAGTGTTTAATGCCTAGAGTTTATCTGAACATGTTCTCGACAGGCTTAGAAGGAGTTTGGTCATTTATGTAGCATAAACATTTTAAAGGATTAAATTGATGAGGTATCGTTAGTTTTAATTTAGTTGTGGTATATATATATATATTCGTCGTTTTTTTAAAGTACTGTTACTTGTTTTAAACTATTTACACTTATTTGTATTAATTTTACATATTTTTTATTGACTTAAACATTTTTAGCATTATTTATTTCGTATTTATACAGGTATAGATAAAATTAAAATATCCTTGATACCAATATGTCTGTCCTACATTAACATAATATGATTATATACAAGATACCAACCGATAAACAAGTTTTTTTGTGTTTTTTGACCAACTCAAACAACTTCTTCAAAAAACTGCTATGGTCTAGCTCTAGCATATAAAACGTTTTTATTCTTATGTAGATATGATTCATTTAGTTATTTATACCAATAATTTATCTTAAAACTACTTATGAATTCTATAGAACAGAGAATATAAGGTTAATTTTTACTGTTCGCAATATATTAAGCGTTTAAAATCTTGGAAAAGAAAACGGAATTGTTATTTAAACTTTTAAAAATCGATGGACTATGATATTTTTTAAGCATATTGATAAGACTCAATTTGTTTCTTAATAGCCAAGTCATGTTGGCCAAGGATACAATTCACTAAGCCTATAGAAAATAGAATAAAAGATTATTGTTAAATATTTATAGCGTTTAACATCTCGGAACGCAACTTGTTTAACATCTCGAACGTAAAAAAGGAAAGGAAATTTGATAAAAATCGATAAAAACCGATGTGTTTTGTTACATATATATATATACAGACAGACAGACAGACAGACAAGTTACTTTTGCATTTATATTAATATATAAAAAATGGAATATTAATGTGGATATATGTATGTGTAATAAAATTCTATCTGAGTCGAATCTGTACATTATATATTTTTTTGGAAAATTGCGGAGTCGCTAGTGTTCAGTGTTCAGTGACAGATTAATGCCAAATCAGAAAGAATATTGACCAAAGAAATGAATTTTTTGCCAATGTAAGAAGCTAGAATGCATTTAGAACATTAATAGGTTAAATAACGTACTTATATACTATTTTATTAATAAAAAAATTATAGTGTGCAAAAAGTATTGCATGATTTTATAATAGTAAAATGTATAAAAACTCTTTATTTATAGCTTTAACTCACAGCAACTTAATTCTGAGTTCAAGATCATGGTCGTTGCCCTTGAGGAGCATTGTTAAGGTTGCACAAATCCATTTTACGAACTTATGTCATGGTTTAATATTTATTTCTATTAGTTTTCCCTATATTATACGTGTTACTTATTTTTATTGTGTTTAAACAAGGAAAATAAAGTAATAAACGAAGAAGATTGTAGACTAAATTATTCCATTTTCTGTTCCACTTTCACTTTCTGTAATTTCGAAAAAATTATAGACATTAGACAGGTTGCGCTACGATTTCTATATGAGAACGATATATTTAATATGCTATAAGTATATGATATATCCTATAAACATTCGTCTTGTATGGAAATTCTCCTAACAAAAGGTACACTTGCAAGCTTTAAAAATATCGTGGGTAGATTATCTATACTTCTATACTAATATTATAAAGAGGTAAAGCAGGTGAGGTTGTAAGGTTGTGGGTTTGTGACGTTGTAGGGGGTAATCTCTGGATCTACTGAACCGATTTAGATGAAATTTGGTTAAAAGATAGTTTGAGACTCTGGGAAGGATATAGGATACTTTTTATCCCAGAAATCATCCCTAAAGGGGGTGAAAAAGGGGATGAAAGTTTGCATTGGGAAGCAAGGGACGAACAAGAGCGAAGCGAGGGTGAGTCGCTAGTTCACAATAAATCACTCGTATTATCACTCACATTAGTATTATCTTTTATTTCACTTATGTATTTTGTATATATAGCACTTTATGATTCATGTATACATTTTGCATATGTACATGGTAGGAAGTTTGATGTTGGTTGAATTGGATAATTTGTCATTATGTTTTTATACGTACTTTGTAAGGGGCAAAGTCGTTAATTCATTCATTAGTAATTGTTGTATCAACATGTGGCTCTAATTACGACCACTTTATTATATTTAAATATATCTATTTATTATTTTTACATATCGCTATGAAATTTTATATTATGGTGAATCGGATTTCTGTCGACGGTCATTTGTTACATTATTTAGCATTGGTTAAATATTTCAGGCAGCACAGGCCGTATTTGACACCAGTTTTACGTAATAGTGAGTAGCAGACCAGTTATAATGTACTTTTATCAGTGATAATTAATGTGTTGAAAGTGATTTTAGCGTTTATGTAAAATATTCAATATATTTATAAGAAGTTATACATAAGAAGTTATACATATGTATAACTTCTGATTCCCTTCCCTGGTTGAACTCGGTTGAATCTCGTTTTAGGTGAGTGTTATGTTTAAGAAAAATTAAAGCTATTTTAAAAGCTTAATTTTATTATGACTGTTAGAGTGTAGGATTTAGTCATGTAAATAGTTAATTAACTTAGTTTTAGATGAGTTGATCATTTTGGCAAAATTTATACCTATTATTCTATACCATATCCCATAAGTCATTTGACTTTATAATATGAGGTAGTTGACAGTTATTCCAAGCCATAATCTGTGTACTAAACTTCATCCAAATCGGTCCAGCTATTACAGTATGAACAAACATACACACACACATGCAAACTATCGCATTTATAATAATTGCCCCATGGCCAAGCAAAAGTTAATAATATTTTGAACATCATTATTTCAATGTACATAACAAAGTTAACCACAACTGCCTTCAGATCTTAGTGCAGTATTATGATTTTATAATTGGATTATTTGCAGTCAACGGTTATTATTTTTTATCATAAAATTATTTTATCTTCCTTAAACCTTCTTAAATGTTGTTCTTATTTTGTTTTAAATACGTATACAGTATACTCTAAGTATAAAATTGTATGGCATAATATCTTACTACTACTAACCACACATAGGAGTAAATAAACTACATATGTTGTAAATTTTGTCTACCGGTCTGTTTGCGTGTTTCGCGACATTTGACGTATGCATAAATAACATTTTCGTTTAAAAATATATGAAGTTTATTTTAAAGGGATGAGTTCATATAAATATATAGCTTCAGCTTTCTGTAGTATGTAGTCACAAATAAGAAGAGGGATATTTTAAATTTGTTTATATTCAGTGAAATCCGCTCAATGTCTCTCGCAAGCACACATACCAACATTCTAAAAACTTTTAAGGTCTATCATATCCTAATAGCCCATCTAGTATAATTTAAAAAGTTAAATAGTCTCTCAACTACTTTAAATGTACAATTAATGTTATTATATATATATATATATATATATATATATATATATATATAAATTGTTACCCCCCGTGGAGGCTCTTAATTTTCTTTACAATCAAAGGTATCAAATCAAATTTTTTCTGTTCCTATCTCGTGGGATCTCTTTGTTAACACTCTTAATATACTTATCTATATAAGCCTGACATTATTATAAATCATGAATTCACATACGTTAATATGTTATTAGCACTTATTTCAATGAGATTCTAATGTAGCTTGATGAATATTTAACAATGTTATTCAACATGATAGTCAAAGCCGTACTCATTAATATTCACGCAATAACTGAAATACTGTAATGATATTTAAGGGAGTATTCTTACTATTTAATTGATAAAGTTTAATGTGTATTTTGTATATTATTTAGTTTAGTAGGTGCTTATGATCCAGCTTCAGCTTTATCCGGCTTCTTTCCTTAATTTGGTTTACCTTTAAAAAAGATGATAGAAATCAGAAGTTTATTGTAATTTATATTTTATTATATAAAACTTTTTCACCTCATCTAACTCTTTTAGCGGTTCTTTTTTTTTTAAGTAGATATTCCATGTCTTCAGTTATTTAAATACCATTAAAATACCAATAATATAATATATCATTAAAAAAAGACTTATGGGAATTCGTTCACAATTTCATTATTGGCGAAAATATCATATATGTACCTAACATATTATGTTCATAAAAAATGCCTTCAGTTCAAAGTATGTCAATAATAAGTTGGTTTAAACTTTAAAGATGTCCTATGGTCTAAGACAAGCTCTAATCATGTTTTAATATAGTTTTAAGGCTATTGTTTGATCCACATGAGAATATTTTTATAAAACAACTAGCGATTCACCCTCGTTTTGCTCTTCGCACTTTTACCCCCATTTTCACCCCGTTAAGAGATGATTTCCAGGATAAAACCTATCCTATGTCCTTCCAACCGTATCGAAACTATCTTCTTACCAAATTTCATCTAAATCGGTTCAGTGGTTTCGGAGCCTATTCGATACAATCAAACAAACAAACAAAAATCAAGTTTTTTCCTCTTTATAATATTAGAATGAGTTTTTCGATTTGGTTAAGACTTAAAAGTAAGTAATTAATTAATAATTCATAGCCTGAAGGTGAAATAGAAATAACTAAGCGTGAAATTATGACAAATATTATAGTAATTTTCTTCGACTTATTAATTAGAAATGATGCAATACAAAGAAAACAGTTTTATTTGAAATAGAAGCTTCCGTAATTTCGTTCCTCACTGAGGTCATTGTATATTTAAAATAGACGCGCAGGCGTCACCGCTCTGTGCCAAGGTTAGTTTTGTATTTATTTATAAATACTTAATTTATTTACATGAAGACCTGATATTATAAACTAGAATAGCTAATTGTTATTCAGATATAAAATATCTAATTCTATAAAATTAACTAGCGGCTCACCCTCGCTTCGCTTGGGTTCGCTTCTAGAAGACAAAAACAAGTCTATCCCTGGGGAACCGTATATTTTTCTGGGATAAAAAGCCTATGTGTTATTCCAGACTATAATATATCTCTGTGACAAATTTCATCCAGAACCGTTCAGCCGTTCTGGCGTGAAAGAGTAACAAACATACATCCATACAAACATTCTTACAAACTTTCGCGTTTATAATCTTCTAATTGTTTATAATCTATAATACGCCTGGTCTCTTAGAGTTTCATAATAATGTTTCATTTTAAATAAAACTCTCTTTACGGATTTTTTCGCGGATTTATTTGGATTTTTGGTTCCCGACGTTTCGAATGCTTTACAGCAATCATGGTCACGGGAGAGACACACGCACAGTCTCTTCCGTAACCATAATTGCTGTAAAGCATTCGAAACGTCGGGAACCAAAAATGCAAATAAATCCGCGAAAAAATCCGAAAAGATAGTTATATTTAAAATGTCAGATATTCGCGTAAATCTAAGAAAGTATTATAATAATGTTTCATTTTTATCTCTAAATACAATTATTTGTTTACTACCTATATATATATTTTTCTGTAGACGTTTGATGGAGCGGGTTAATGAATTGCTGCATACGGAAAACGTCTATGTGGAACGTTTGAGACACGTCGTTGAAGATTATATTCCAGAGATGATGAGGGAAGACATACCGCCTTCGCTTAAAGGCATGAAACCGGACATATTTGCCAATATTGAACGGATATGTCGCTTTCATGCGGAAGAGTTCTTACCGGCATTAAGGGACTGCGAGAATGATCTAAGAAAACTTGGCCAGTGCTTTCGGAGATTTGTAAGTATATTTATATACGATTTTAATGAATCATACATTTTGTAACAGTTTCGAAACGAAAGGTTGTTTTTATTTTTAAAAGAAGAATTCCAGTAAGCGTAATAATCAATTACAACAATCGTTAAAAAATGGTGTCACGGTCCGGTGTGGTGCGTGATTCCATGCTTTGTTTACCGTCCAATATAGACGGAACTTTTCTTTCTCCGAGTTTTAACGACAATGAGAGCATTTTAAGTAAAATTGTAGATCTTTCGTATTTGGATAGCTTAATTCAATGCTATTATTATTGTATGATTCTTCGCGAAAGTCAGCAGGTGAATAGCATTTTCAAATATGTCAAGGAGGTATTTATTCTTAACATATTATATAAAAAATCTTATTTTTCTCTCAAACCTCATTTTACACATATGTTTATATTTTTGTTTTTATTTTTGTCTAAGAATAAATAAATAAATTCGAGAATTTCAGTCTGTGCGTTGGAACGATCACAACGAGGGTTAAACAGAAAAATTAAGTTTTTTGTACTGTTAATAATTTAATAGGAAAATAAAAATTATACGCGAGAAAAGACTGAGGAAAAAACTGTATAATATTATAATTATTCTAACAAAAATAAGTGTATTTTGATTGTTATTTGATTTATTGAAGAATTTATGCCTTTTTGTAGGAACAAAGGTTTAATATGTACGTGATGTATTCTAGAAATAATAAGAGAGCCACAAGACTGGTATATGAAAATAAACAATTCTTTCAGGTATGTAATGTTGTTTGGGCGATGTAAATATTTTATTTTTTTCAGCTTAAACATTGGGGATTTTATTATTCTTCCAGTATTTATCTCTCTAGGAAAAACCACACAAAAATATTTTTTATCAATTGCTTATACGAGTATCACACGCCTACTGTAACACTGAATGATTATTATTGTATGACGATATTTTACACGGGTATTCCCTATATATTATATACTTAATGTACTACTTCCATATCCATAAGGTCATTATCTAAACATATAATAAAATTGTACCTAAGCCGAACCTGTACATTAAATATTTTTTGGAAAATCTTATTGAAATAAACATTATTATCGATACAGAGGATGAATCTATAGTTTTTAGAATTTTTGTCTGTCTGTCTGTTACCGCATCACAGAAAAACCACTGAAGGGATTTTGATGACATTTGGTATGGTGATAGCTGAACATATAGGATACTTTTTACCGCGGGAAAATATCTCATTTCTGAGAAAAAATACAAAAACTGCATTGTAAGAGTATACTAATATGTAAAAACTAAGAATTTGGTTTTTGGTCATCTGAACGCGTGCGGAGCCGCGGGCAATGCTAGTAACGAATATTTGTTCGCAAATAACCTGCTTGGAGAAAGCTAGGTGAAAACTATGGTCGATAGCGTTACCGATATTCCGTCAATATGCTTATATCACGATGAAGCGTGATCGCTGTTAGGTATTTCCAGTTTCCACATCATATGGTTAAAGTGTGTGCAAAAGCAATTTCTGTTAATCTGTTGCTTTACTGTAGCATTTACTCGAGCACGTTCTGTTGACTAATGACTACATATTATTATTGTTATTACAAATACTTAAGATTTAATTATTAAGTACTTAATTTAAAATATGCACACCTTACACGTGAAAGTTAATGTGTGGTTTCGCGCCATTTCCATTCTAACTAACTTCTCAGTCTAGTTATTCGGATAAAATTCTGCTCCAATAATCCTACTCGATCGTGATCACATATCATTCGACCCAAATTTGCACTAAAACTTGTGAAAGGCAATTTATATTTAGTACTAATCGATATTCATTTCAGACGATACTGTACCTACTATATTTACATTACATTTTATACGATGGCTTATATAGTTATTTGGTAAAGTGAGCATATTTTTTCGTTATAAAGATAAAGGATTTCACCTCCTTTTTATCTATGAACATTACGACATCGTGTTAACATAAATTCCAGAATATGTAGCTCACAAAATCCCTCACTAATACGCTAAAGAGTTATAACCTAATATATGTTCATTGTTTTATTTGTTTGGCAGGAACGACAATTACAGCTAGGCGATAGGTTAGACCTTTCAAGTTATTTATTAGAACCCATTCAAAGGATACCGAGGTATAAATTGTTTTTGGACGATCTTGTGAAAACTTATACTAATTATGAGAATGAGAGGTGTGAGTCAGACTCGAGAATTTCTAAGTTAAGTGTAGACAGTGACGAAACGGGTGGAAGTAATGGAGAGTCATCCGATTCGGAAGAAACGCCTTTGGAAAGTTTGAAGCTAGCAAAAACTATGATTGAGTGCGTCTTAACAGCGGTTGATGATATAATGGCCCTAGAAAACATAACAGATTGTCCGGTAAGTAATATCTCATAATGACATGGGTACATTAATAGGTACATAAAAAAAGTCTTATTAGAAATTTTTCCATATTAATCTCACAGTGAATATTATGAAAAATATAATAAGAGAATGAAAATAACAGTTATTTTTCCATTAAGTATAGTAATTTAGTCAGTACCTAGATATGTATACTATAATATTATAAAGAGGTAAAGTTTGTGAGTTTGTGACGTTGTAGGGGGTAATCTCTGAATCTACTGAACCGATTTAGATTAAATTTGGTAAGAAGATAGTTTGAGACCCTGGGAAGGACATAGGATACTTTTTATCCCGGAAATCATCCTTTAAGGGGGTGAAAATGGGGACGAAATTTTGTATGGGGAATCAAGCTAGGGACGTACCCGAACGAAGCGAGGGTAAGTCGTTAGTAAAATATAAAATCATAGTGAATACTTTTAAATCATAAAAATATGACAATAATACTTTTTTAGCTTACATATGCAGTTTAAAGGAGTTTATCAGCTTTTAATCTTAGATATTGATGTTGTTTCTTTTTATCACATACAGGAAACTCACGTATATTGCAAGGCATGTGTAGCACTGTAGATACACTTACGCGTATATCTCGTATTAAGTACCTACTTATCTTTGAATATTACAATGTGATTGATCCGGTGATAGATAGCTTATAGACTTCCGCAGAACAGAAGTGGAACTTATTAAATAATTATAATATGACGTATCACGAGTATCCACATAGTGAGTTTAACTGGAATTTTTGCGACAGTTATTCATTATTATTACACATGAAGATAAATACTTTTTGAAATACTTAATAACTATGAAAGTATACAGCTTATCATTTTCATATTTTGTATTTTTTTTTAATTTATGATTAGTAGAAAAAAAAAAGTTTGAGTATATGTTAAGTTTTTGTATACATTGGCTAAAATAAATTGACATTTTGTGGGAGGTGTCGGAAAAAAATAAGCAGTCTGGAAGCTTTCAACGAAAACGCTGCCTAAACCCTTTGAAATATAACAAAATAATGTATGGTGGAATTGTGTATCTTATATAGGTCTACAGAAAAGTCAGCGATGGCATAGGTCTATCTATCTATCTATCTTGAGGGTAACATACTATATCCATTTTAATTTCAAACGTACCTAAGGACGAACCTGAGCGAAGCTAGGGTGAATCGCTAGTTTAAAATAATTATGACAAGTTATAATCACCTATAAGATTTGATTGCATAGTAAGTTACTCAGTGATTTAGAGTTACAAGTGAATCTATTAAAAACATACTAATTATCTTTTATAGGCACATTTGAACCTGCTTAACCAGGGTCGATTGCTGCTTCAGAATGAATTTTATGCTATGGACAACGCTCGTCGACGCCGTCAGCTAATGCGAGTGTTCCTCTTCGACAAGCTCGTCCTTATAACGGCAGTATATAGGAAGGTGAGTTTGATGTGAGTGATATAGTTTTAAACCGACTTATCTTAATATGTCCTCTCCCTTTATGGTTGAATTAATATAGGTAATATGTTGATATTGACGTCTACTAGAGATGGATATTTGACGTTACCACTACAGAGTTTCTGTTTACTATACCTATATCTACAATCGATACTCAAGTGTCGTACGTCACGTGACATATCATGTTATCTATACATATAATAAAATTCTGAGCCGAATTCGTACATTAATCAAAGTCGAATTTTTTTTGGAAAATCTTATTGAAATAGTCATTATTATCGATACAGAGACCGAATGTATAATTTTTATATTTTTATCTGTCTGTCTGTCTGGGAAACGCATCATGAGAAAGTCACTGGACAGATTTTGATCAAATTTGGTATGATGATAGCTGGTTATCTGGGTGAACATATAGGATACTTTTTACTACGGGAAAATATCTCATCTCTAAGAAATATATAGGTACTAAACGTAAAAATATAACTGAGTCGCTAGTATCCATATATTAAGTTTTCAAGTTTTTATTTATGATAGCGACTGATATAATGAAATAAAAAAAATATCTATTTATTTTCTTGTTACACCATGCAATCTTATTAGCTGAATTAAGTGTAACCTATATAGAAAAAGTTACTTATCTTCTCGCTATATCATCATATAGTTAGCTTTTGTTTTATATTATTTTATCTATATTTCAATAATCATAATAACAACGATTTCGATTAAATGAAATTCTTATACGATATGAACTGATATCTTATACTGAAGAAATCCCTGTCATTATGGTACACACGACGCATCGTTTGTGTAAAATTAAAAATATGTTTATGAATGGTAAAAGTTATGTTCAGAGATCTTTGGTGGCCCCTATGACATATGTGTTGGCATTCATCATTTACTGTCATTGTCATGATTTGTTGGTTTGGTTCATCAAATGCAATCCAAGCATAATTCATTGCATTTCAATGCAATTAAAGTAGTAGAAATAGCAATTCATATGTTCCTCTCGGTAACCGCGGCTTTTTATACCGTTATCTAAAGAGAACGGATCGAGATGTTAGTACGAGTACCTACATATTATCTTTAAAACGTGAATAACGCGAAGTTATAAACATATCATGAAAGTTATCACACTCATTCTACAAATGAGAAAGTTTGCGTGTGTTTGTTTCTTCTTCATACGAAATGAAGCTTATATATTAAACTCAGACTAAAGAATTATACTCGTATAGACGGAGTCCGCCAAAATAAATGTCAATGTCATAAATAACAGCGTGATTTTGCTGTTTATATTTATAAGGATATAGAAAATTTTATATAAGTATTAGTCGTATATTAACAATTGTTGAGAAGCAAATATGAATAATAAAAAATACTATATTCTTTTGTATTTTTTAAGCATTGGTTCTCACTTTTCTATCCCTTGACAAAGAGGTAGCATAAAATTAATATATTTTTTTCTTTATTATAATGAAATCCATTAGCAATTTTCATTTATTAACAACAATTTACTTATTATATATTTAGTAATTAGTATTCTATTAATATTTGTATACTCTTTTAAAACTCTTATTTTAAAATATTATTGTTTGGCTTCATGTTCAGTTCTAAGACCCTTTATATTATGCCTTGGTCTGGGATGTTAAATTAATATTTTTTATTGAAATATCAACCACGCGAGCATATCTGCTGGCAAAAGTAGTGTAAAATAAATGAAGCAAATTTTTGAGATTTTCGCTTACGTTTAGTTTATTTATCTATGCTTTCGCCACAGATCATATAATATTATAAGTACCAGCACTAACGATTTTAGTTTTGAATAACACTCATTTTCTTTTAATTTTAATTTATTTTTTCTATTGTATTATTATTTATTATATGTTATGTTAATGACATAACAGTATGAATTTGTGAATATGTTGGGTAATACCACGAATTTTTAAATCAATTTTAGATTCAGTCGCGAGTTTGAGGTCAATAATCCAAAACTAAAAATACTAAAAATAAAAGAAGAGGCCATTCATTGGATCACAATTAAAATGACCTTTTATATTATGTATTTACACTTATAGAAAAATTGCATTTTAACTGTGAAATAGCGTTAGTAGAATTGCGTAAATCAACGAAGTCGGAAAAATTTCGTATACGGACTCTTAAATCAATTTAAAAAAATATAATAATAAATTAACACATTGCGGCACAAGACATTAGTTACAATAAGATTTATGTTTAGAACGTGATAATGTCTGACGTCTTTGGGAGACTGCTATTTAACGACATAAAGGCACATACACGTTATAATTCATTTAAAAGTTAATTAAAATCTCAAATATTGAAAGTTAAATTAATTAAGTAATTTATATATAATTTTGAATTATTTTATTTATATAAATTTAATTTTAATTTTATTTTTTCAAGATTCATTTGATCATTGAAAATCATTCTGAATCCAAAAATTCAAATCATTGAAATAACAAGCACTTGTAAATTTCATTTTTTTTAATAATTTTGACATATTTACTACTTTATTAACTTCGCGTATTATAAGAACAAATAATGAGAGATAGAGGTTACCGCGACCTTAGGATTAGAAGACGGTAATATAACGACAACATAAAACTGCTGTATAAAGGAAAGTGTTCAAAGAGGTATTCTAACGGATATCAACAACCTAACTACCTGAGGCACTGTTGAAAGAATATAATTGGACCCAGTTATGCAAAAAACAGCCATGTGCGTAAATTTACCAACAGAGTTATAAGCATTTTATTATAAAAAATAAAATAATTATAAAAAATAAACAATACTTATATAAATATTGTTTAATTTTAAAATAACCAGAAAAACAAAACATAATCCAAGTGCAACTATCGACAGAAAAATGTTTATAACTCTGTTGGTAATTTTACGCACATGGCTGTTTTTTGCGTAACTGGGTCCAATTAAGAGGGAATTTAGAGAAATGTAACCCCTTAACAGTGCTTAACAAGATATCAAACTTGGATACCTATAAGGAAAAGCATCGCGCAATGCAGTTTGGTTTTAGTGTAATGACTTATGAGCTGATTTTCAATCATTTTTAAAATAACAAGCAGAAATCTGTTCACTTTATAATCTACAAAATGATACTGGTTAGACTCTTAAAACAAAGGCTTTTGTAACAAAAGTTAGTAGGATAGTCCATGTTACACTTAGGTTTTACATATTTTAGTAGTTCTGAGTTTGGATGTCGTATGAATATAATTAGGCTAAAATCGCAGGGAAGCAAATGTTCTACGTTCCAACAGTTATTTTATTGTCACTTTATATTATTAATGAGGGAATGCTAGAAAATCTGTTGAAAAGAATACTTGATTCGTTTATACTTATACGTAGTAAAATAATATTAATATTAATTTAAACTTAATAATTTTCCATGTACAAAAATGCCAGACCACATTCATACGTGAAGAGTTAAATCGACAGCTTATTTCTGTATGACAAGTATCTGCTTAGAAAGTAATTTTTGAAATTCAATGCAAATAATACTTTTCAACAGACACATTAAATAAAAAGCTACCTTGTTAAGCCGAAACAGGCTAGTCTTATATGTGATTTATATCTCATATTAGTTCTATAATCTGTTAAAGTATACAATTTATCTAACAAAGTATATAATATATTAGATAATTAGATAAAAAATTAGAAAAAATAAAATCTAAAAGAGACTTTATTAAATTATAATTATTTTATCGCTCGTTACAAAAATCATTCTGACTCATCATTATGAATCACGTTCATTACATATTATCGTAATAAAAATTTGCGTATTATTGTGGTCACTGCTGCGCTCGCGCTGGCACGCTGCAATAGGTATATCAGCAAGAGATAACAGTACTGCGATATGCGATATGCTACTTTGTTGAATGTAACTTATATATAATATACGTAACAGTGTATGTAGACCAGTAAATCAGAATTAACTGTCTTCTTAGCAAGAAATATAATCAAAAGGCCAAAAATTATAGGACCTTTAATCGTATGAATTGTACTCATGTATTATTTTTCATTGTCCGTTAAAGGATTACCTTTACTATAATAACTTCTTTTTTAAAATACAAAAATATTATAAAGTTTTTACAAATTATTGATAAAGTAGGTAGCGCTAGTTTTTATTGATTTTATAAAAGGCTCCAAATTGTAGAGAGAGAAATGTTGGTTGGCTTGTTTATAGAGTTGTTTACTAAAGATTTACCTGAAAAAGAAAACCAGCGCTAATACTTATAACGCTTGTATGGCGAAATAAAACTAACATTTTTCTGTTTTAAAAATAGTTGAAATACTACTAACGTTTGACTTTTGACCTCACATTTCCTGGATGCGTTCTTAGCACTTTCTTGATACTATAAAATATATCATTGTGTAGTGATGTACACATATTTTGTAGATGTTTTATATTAAGATTTGAAACTACTTGTTGTTAATATCTTAATATTAACAAAATATAACATTGTTAATAACATAGGTGACGTAGAAAATGTAAGCAATAGTATGAAAATAATAAGTTCTAATCAAATAGACAGTTTATTTACACATTTTTATCGTTTAAATACTGGTACTAAATATCATTAAGGCTATCTAAATTTGTTTATGAGTAATAACCTAAACAACGGCTACGTAAGTTCTACCGAAATGAGTGTAAGTAAAAAGAAATATTATGATTTTTAAATAATTATTTAAGTTTAAGTCTTAATTAGTGCAAAAGTTTGAAGGATAAAGAATTTTCCATTTTGTAAAAAGCACTTCCATTTAACGTGGCGTATAATAAGATACTGGGCAGATATTACAAAAATAGTTTATTACGCGGACGCGCCTCACTGGCGTCGGAAGCTGATTTCGTAGACGGAGAAATTACGTACGGCTAGCTTTTCTGGGTCCTACATTATTATATGTATTCTATGTACTACATTCACTAAAATTGCCAAAATCCAACATCTAGCAATTTTACTGTCTACAATATATTGTCTATTCTCTTACATTGTTTGCTTTATTTTATGTTATTTACTAAAAAAACGATAAGTACTTATTGGAATAAGTGGTTATAGGCTGTTTCAGTAAAAATCTAAGTCGTTCGATTGATTAGATCTTTACTTTAACAATTTCTCATCAGAATTGTCTTAAAATTATTTTAAGTTTGACCGAAGTTTCTAGGGTTGGATATTTTTTTGATTTTTTGTATGGTCCCTTCCATTTTCCTTAAAAATATTATGAAAGCCGATTGACAATTGCTGCAATATCCTACCACCTAACTAACCACCTGAATTGAACATCTCGTTTTTAAATTGGTCAAAATATTTTATTAAGTACTTGTTATGAGTATTGTAATAATGTTTGTCCTTGCTAATACTGCGGAACGGCTAATTGACCATGCGCGGTTGGCTCAGACGACACAGGTAACATGTTACGTATGCTTTACTATATTTTGCTAATTTTTTATTTGCAATACCTATTACTCTTTAAATTCAAAGGAATATTGAAGAATGAAATAATTTCGTCAGGGAATCGAAAGTTTCCTTTTACTTATTAGCTCATATTAACATAAAAGGCAGTATTTGTTCAGTATCGTTAAGCCAAGATCAAAGGCTTCTTCAGGAATTTCCGTAATATTATCGTTGATAAGTTGCGATTCAGTGAATTGTTATAAGAAAGTAGCTAAAATTATACGTTTCTTATATAAAAGTTAAGGATTTCAAATGTTTTTTTGTTCTAAAATAGGGAGGAAGTATTTTGCATTTTATTTGTTTTTGGGTTCCGTAATCAAAAGGTACAAAGAAAATCTTTATTATGTCCCTCTGTCCATATTGTCTCACTAATCTCACTGTGAAACGTAAACTTTAAAATAATAATAATAAAATTTAAACCCACATAAGAAAAAAAATAGTAAAATTTAAATCCACATAAGCGAGTGGGATATCTTTCTCTGGATAATTCTTTAAAGTTTAAAGTAAAAGGTCTAAAAATTGAGATAATAAATACAATAAGATATTTTGTCTTTAAATCATTTTTAGTGAATATAAATATTTGCGATTGTATTTTTCAGCAATTAACAGTTGAGTTCTTCATATACAAAGATCATATCCCAGTAGATGATCTGGGCATTACGGCGAAAGAACACGACCAATATAAATTCAGTATTTGGTACAAGAATAGAAACCTTAAGTCATACAAATTTGAGACCAGGGATACGAAAATAAGGAACACATGGGTTGAAGAAATTACATCGTTACTTTGGGAGCAAGCGATGCAAAAGAAAGGTATTTTTTGACTTATTTATTGTTATGACTGATGTAAGATGGACGAAAATACATATAATATGCTTCATTAAAGTTAATTTCAAGAGTAAATAATAAAAAGGGATGCTTACAACCTTAATATATCATTGTCAAAGTCTTCAAACTGCTGTTTGGTAGTGGTTTAAAGTTATTATTTTTACATGCTGATTCGTACGAGCTCATTAACCAATTTCTAATATATAAGGTGTCTATGTTTATTACTTCTCCACGCCGAAACGGCTGGACGGATTTGGATGAAATTCAGTATACTGATAGACCTGGAGCAACACATAGGCATATATAATATGAGTAACGTCATATTAATTATGTCATAAACTATACTAATGTATCTATAAAACTTCATCAATTAGTTCTACTTTCCATTAAATGTTTTAAAGGGCAATTTTGTCATAATAGTATCGTATGATGCTATCTTCTTTATCCTTTTATATAACTACAAATATAAATACTGTTATCGTGTATGTTTACTTAATTGATGTCCTGCTGTTCAATTTTGGCATAAGTTTACGCGTAGACACTAGCATACTGTCTATTTCCGTAATTCTCATACTATGGTGGACAACAATTCAACACGAACAGTAAGAGATCAGGCGCACGACGGACGGCTTTATGTGCTTTCTGAGGCACGCGGATGAAACACCAACAACATCCCAACTCCGGGCTATTACTGTGACTTTCTTGAGAGAAAAAAATAATAACTAAACTTGGCCTAACTCGGGACTTGAACCTAGGACCTCCGGATCTTCAGCCGTACATGCTTGTCACTAAACCACAGAGGTAGATACTATATAACTAAATACTATATAACTGACATGTAAAATTCAATGCACTGTGTTATAGCAAATGGCAAATTTAGCTAATAGTGATGCGAGTCAATTTGTATAATGAAAGGTAGACTAATGATAGGCATAAATATAAACCAATTTACTATTATGAGTACCTACAACGTTGCTCTCACTATCGTCGTGCATTACAAATTGTAATTCACCATGCGTTCGTGGTTGAATTTTCTAAATTTATTTACTATGCTTTTGTTTTCTTTTATGACGTTTTATTGCAAATTTAAATTCAATATAAAAAGATATAAAATAAAGGACATGTGCAAAGGTTGTCTTCAACTTATTGTTTATTTTTATTGTAAAATTATAGAATACTAGCAGTACCCGGCACCCGCGGCTTCACCCGCGTACAAACTTGATCTCTACCTAACTTCATAGGTTCGCCTGCTGGGCTAATCCGAAGATTGCCTGGAATTTCATCAAAATCGCTCCAGCCATTTTAGAGTCCATAGGGAACACACATACACACATCGATTTTTATGTACATACTATATATATAGGGCTAGGGTTAGTTAAAAAATTAGTTTCAAATAATGTAAAATAATACCCGTTCGCGCGTGTTTGCTCGCGCAACTAGCAGCATTACAAGCAGCTCTGCTGCTCCCACTTCCAAATTTTGTTTAAAAATCAAATATAACATAGCCTTTAGCACTTTTGGAAACGTAAGGAATAAAAAAAAGTCATTGAAATCTGTTGGATAGATTTTTAGTTAAAACATACATACATACAAAGAATATTATTTAATTATATCTTAAAGATGCATAAAACAATTTATTAATTCAGGCTTTATTTCTTATGAAATATGAATAGAAAAAAGTATTATGTATAGTGGTAATACGAGTATGGTCCAATGTTATTGTTATCTTGCTATACAGAGTACAATTATTTGCATAAAGCGTAATTTAAGATTAGATATTATCATCGATTAACAAAATAATGTCACAACTAGTTTAGTTGTAAAATAGTGATACGTGTTATCATATACCAGTTCCGAGTAATTTTAATATTTGTGGACGAACGACTGGGTTTCATAGTAACGTTTTGACCGACTTCAAAAATTAGGAGGTACTCAATTTGTTTGTATGTTTTTGTGTATGCTATGCTATATTTATGTCTATTTTGATCCAACTTTTATGTTTTGTTATGAATGAAAATTAAATGTCACATTTCAAGGTAAACACCTACCATTACTATAAAGTAATTTCAAAGTCTGTATTTTTGTCGTCTTTTTTGTCGTACGTACTACTGTTTTCATAGACAATCCGAACTATTATAATAAACATTCATATAATTAATGTTACTTAGCTTTGTTATCTATTCTGAATATTATCTGTAAAATAAAAAAAGTTAACCTACTGACATTCATCGGTAAATTAATATTTTATTAATACAATCATTCATCCCGTATGTCATAGCTCACTGTTTGTAAAAGGAATGCAGTTAACTTCATCATGTCGCTTTTTGGCTGTCGGTGTGCGCGCGTGATAATTTGCCAAAAGAAGTATAACTTTAAAAAGTATTTAAAGTCAATCTGACAAAGTAAACAGAGGGTAGGTTATATCAGTTGTACCTATGACTCACAATTAAAGTATATGTAGGCACTAGGTGTTGAATTATTTCAACTAAACCATTCGTCAATATACTTGGGACTTGGAACACAAAAAGATTTAGCCACAATATTGATTTATATACATAAGTATATACCTACTATATAAATATATACATAAAACAACAGTTTACAGTAGAAATTAAAGTAAACAGAACACTGTGCGGGTGCTACTTATTTATGCGTACAGTATGTTAAGTAACAGCGAGATGAATAGAACGTTGTACGGCGGTGTCATGTGTCCGATGGAATTATGTCACTTTTGAAATCATAGCGCACATTCACCAGATTTCATGTTGTGTTTGTATTCGCAAGCCGCAGCACATGATTAATTTGTTCAGTAATTATGACCAATTAAACTTCATTTCACGGATCACCGAAGTAGCCACAGATTCGATATCATTGTAAATAAACCTTATTATTATATAGCATACTAGCATTGCCCGCGGCTTCACCCGCGTTCAGATGACCAAAAACCAAATTCTTAGGTTTTACATATTAGTATACTGTTACATTGCAGTTTTTGTATCTTTTCTCCGAAATGGGACATTTTCCCGCGGTAAAAAGTATCCTATATGTTGACCCGTAAAACCAGCTATCACCATACCAAATTTCATCAAAATTTCTTCAGTGGTTTTTCTGTAATGCGGTAACAGACAGACAGACAGACAGACAGACAGACAAAAATTCTAAAAACTATAGATTCGGCCTCTGTATCGATAATAATGTCTATTTCAATAAGATTTTCCAAAAAATATTTAATGTATAGATTCGGCTTAGTAACAATTTTATTATATGAATAGATTTGAAAGGTATTAAATATCAATGGACCTTTTTGTATTGTATGATAATAGATTAAGTCATTATTTTTAGTGGTTAGTATAATCATAATTCATTCATTTGTCATAATTTTTATTGGCGCATTTTACTGAGTTTATTTTATTCCAAAGAAAAAGATTATAAGTACATTACCCAATGTTATATTATTCGTAAAACAGTACAATTCTATTATAAACGTTGCAATATAAAGAAAGTTGCCTCAATATTGCTAAGTAACACATCAATGTATAAATAAAATATACCTACGATTAAATGAATCGAGTGGTATAGTTATGCTTTCCTTACACGTGTTGGTTATCTACATGAGTGGATTTGTTATAGACGGAGTCAGTTAAAAAGGAACTTGTTAAGTCCATCTGGCATTCGGTTCTGATGAGATAACTCGCATAGTTAATACGAACAAACTTTTTAATTGACCGTCATCTGCTCTCTCCATTTATACGTGACAGAAGAAATGCAAGGCTCTTTATCGTTTCTGACGCACGCGGGGTCGATGACTGCTTTTTTATTGGGTCTCGTTGCTTGCATGTGCATTCTGTGGGAACGTCAGGAAGTTCGTAATTTTTTGCTCTCATCAATCACTCTCGCTATCGTTTTTTATGAAACTGCGAATTAAATAAAGCTATCTGTTTCATTGGATAAATGTACAAACATTGACGACACGTTTGGCTCAGTGTGTAGTGACCCTACTTGCTGTGCCAGCGGTCGCGGGTTCGAGTCCCGCTGGGGGCATTCATTATGTGATGAGCACGAATGTTTGTACTCCAGTCATGGGTGTTTATATTTATAATATGTATGTATTTAAAGTTTATATATGTGTAGTGTATCAACTATCTGGTATCCATAACACAAGCTTCGTAGCTTAACGTGGAACTAGATGGTGCTGTGTGTTAATGTCCCAGCATATTTAAAAAAAAAAGTATCAATATATTTGTTACAAATTGAATATTTTTTTTAAATAAATGCAGTTATTGACATTGCTTATATTTTGTATTCAAATAGTTTGATTATATATCTAACATGACATCTATTTCAGATGAAATCTTATGATGATCATCCTAAGATGAAATCTTAAATTAAATTTATATTTTAAGTTCTAAGTTGAATGAATGAATTAAACTAAAATGAGAAGCGTTTTAAAAAAGATAATCGAGCATTAAAAAAGTCTCATTGAAATGCAGTAAGCTATTTCCGGATGATGCAAGTGTAAAGTAAATACTCGTAGACAAGCCGATAAAATTTCATACATGCTTTAACTCCTATCTTTTTCAAGGAACAACTCAATACAAATTAGTAATTAATATTCGATGCACAAGCCCAACTTGATATTACAATATATTTTATAGTATAATATTATAGATATCATGCGTCATAATTCAACGCAATAAGAAGACTAGAATAAAATCAATTAACATAATTATACAACATGTTCTAACATTAATATTGTAATGCTCTTTAAAACATGTAACTTATGTGATTTATAAAGAAAAAAAATACATACGAACAAGACAAACACAGAACCTCCTCTTTGGAAGTCGGTTAAAAAGAAAGCGTCCGTAGTTACGTACGTTCGCAGTAAGTTTGTTTTTCACACAATAGTACTTTTCAAACAGATTCTATCGATAAGCGTAAACTGGTGCAAGCGTTTCGCGTTTCTTTGTTACTACATAGGACTCTAAGCGACAAATGCTATTTCCCCGCGTACAATAGGCTTTTGTCTAAAGTAAAATGTAGGTAGCTATAATTCGTTGGCTCACTATTACAAGGTTCTATGTTACAGTTTTAGTACTTATTTAGTTATTAATGCTACAAGGTTCTATGTGTCATTAGCTACAGTTTTGCAAAAACAAACCACTAGATAGCGGCACTTTAACTACAAAATATGTAATTTTTCATAGTTCTATGTTGTTTTTTTTACGATAACAAAATAACGAAGTTCTATGTAAGAATTACTAAACTTCATTAAAATTAACATAGAACCTTGTAATAGTGAGCCATCGAATTATGTCACTGTTTGTATGAGTCATGTGTTGTGGTTGACATTACCGATTCATTACGATACTTCATTGCACTGTTATTATCTTAAACATAAATATTACCGTCGCTAGGCAAGGCCTCGTTAGCAATTCGACTTTTAATAGCTTCATACAAATATCGTTATTATTTAATTTTATATTAATTCGGTGGTAATATAAAATTAAAAGATTAAAAATTTGACTTGATTTTATAAGTACATACATATTGATTCTTATTAAGTATATTTTAGTTTGTATGTTATTAATTCCTCAAGTAATTTACTTGACATTTTGTTTAATGGTAATAATACGTTTTATTATATTAACCTTTTTATTATGTATTTCAAATAAATAGATGTAGGTATATATAAAATATAATTAAATTTTCTTATTATAATTCTCATAGAAACTAATTTGAAATAAAAAAACATAATTAAACTATAAAATAAATATTTGCATTGCAATGATATATTACAATATAATGAAAATAAATCATAAAAAGTCGATAATAATTAAGCTAATTTAGTATTGAACACCTGTTTAATACCAATGAACATTGTTTTCATTTTATTTGCGTACAGGTGCGCTATACAATTGGGTCAATCTGAAATGCAAAGTAATATCCATACATATAATAAAATCGTAACAAAGCCGAATCTGTACATTAATTTTTTTTTGGAAAATCTTATTGATATAGACTTTATTATCGATACAGAGGACTGTCTTTCTGTCTGTTACCGCATCACGGAAAAACAACTGGAGAGATTTTGATGAAATTTGGTATGATGATAGCTGGTTATCCGGGTCAACATATAGGATACTTTTTACCACGAGAAAATATCTCATTTCTGAGAAAAAATACAAAAACTGCAATGTAAGAGTATACTAGTATGCAAAACCTAGGAATTTGGTTTTTGGTCATATGAACGCGGGCGGAGCCGCGGGCAATGTTAGTTTTTGTAAATAATTATATATTGTTGACATTGCATAACATAAATAAATTAAACTTAAAATTTCTTACAACACAACTTTTGTGAATGTAGTTTTCCTTCACCTTAAACCACAATATTATAAAAACAAACCAAGCTTAATAATTTCCATTTCAATATTAACTTTCACAATGGCATATACATTATGCACATGGCTTTTTGATCAAGCATATAGTATAATTATACAGCAAAACATCTATAAAGTGGTTTAGATATGCTAATAAAACGATAGACTTGTATTGGAGTGTACTAGTTATCCTATACATACAGTGACTTCAACGTCTTTAGCGGTCGGCCTTTGGCTAGCTAATTCTACTTCTACTAAATAACAATTGAATTTCCATCCGTTTCTACATGTGCAATGCTATTCAAGTATATTTTGTAAGCATTTTATAATGCCCCTATTAAGATTATTAATAACATTTTTAAATAATATGCCTTATTATTTTCATGGTGCTAACTTAAATTTGAAACTGAAACTTATTTTAAAACTTATTTTACAAATTAATATAAGATTTAATCAAATGATACCGTCCGCGTCGTTTCGTATCGAGTTCGTGCGAGTAGTTTCTCCAAATGCGAGTTGTTTAAAACTTTTTCTGATTTACAATTCCGACATCCCATTTTTCCGAATCTCCGGTCTATATATATAGAAAATGTTGTTTCTCTTGCTTTATGTTGGGCGTTAATATATTCTTCTGCATGAATAAAATTGTTTATGCCTTCTAACAATTCATATAAGTATCATTCATATAAATTACAAACTGTTGAGTTTCTTATCTGTTTATCTTTTGTTTTATCGATGTTTTCTATTGAGGTGTGGCCGCGTGATATCTTTGGATACTACAATTATTATTCAGTGTTTTTGATATTTACAACAAGGGATAATTTCCATTATCTTCATAGTTATTAACTCAGACCAATAAAAAAGTATTTATTGGTCTGAGTTTATTAATAAATAATAATATATCTCTTGGTTGATATATGACTAATAAACTGATGGGAAGGACTTTATTTAAATTTATAATTATTAAAATTAATATAAAAATGTTAAAGTACATTCGAAATGTAAACGATAGCTACATATTTATACACTTAAATTTACTGGAATTCAAATATATTTATTAATTTCTAACTTAATGAAAAAATTTGCTTTACAAAATAAATACAATGAATAGAACAAGAAATTAAATATTAGTTTCAACTTAATTTAGAAGATATTATTAGCAGCTCACCCTAGCTTCGCTTCGGGTTCGTTCTTAAACAAAAACAAATCTATCCCACAGGAACCGTCCATTTTTCCGGAATAAAAAGTAACCTATGTGCTATTCCAGACTATAATTTATCTCTGTGCCAAATTTCATCCAAATTGGTTTAACCGTTCTGGCGTGAAAGAGTAACAAACATCCATCCATCCTCAAAACTTTCACGTCTATAATAATAGCATTATAGTATATTAATTAATTGTAAATTTCTTTTATTTCAGAACTATTGTTGCAACAGCGTAAAAAAAGAATATCCATGGTGTCCATGGATAGCCAGGAATCGACGGAGACTGATCGAAATGATGATAAGTGTATGTATTATTTTACTAAATCTTTATAAATAAAATACGTTTGTAATAATTCTTAGAAGATAACAATTTAAACCTATAAGAATAGAGAGAAAGGAGTTCCTTCTGATGCTATAACACGCGTGCAATCAGCAAACACTACGCACCAGCACCATACAATAATACGAGTACATTAATCCGACACAGCTCACACGTCTGCACTACGTGTAAATAGTTTTTAAGTTTTATAATTAATATATATGTTAGTTTTAAGGTATATATGCTATGGGCCTCTGTTTACATATTTAAGATCCTTTTGTAAATATTGCCTGAAATAAATGATTAAATAAATAAAATAAATAAATAAAAATAATCCCGAACCATTATTGCGCACAACTTGTAAAGAATTTTCCCATGGCCCACTTTTGTAACATGTTCATCTTTTATAAATTATTTCAAATTTAGTATATTTATCGTGAACGCTAATCGTGGTGCTTTGATACTGTAAGATCCAGTAAAATAATGTTCAAATCTTTCCTCCAGGTATATTAGATGGTTTCGTTTACGTGAAGTCTCATCCATGAGTTGCTTTGTAGGTCAGTACTTTTAGGCACGCTTCCAGATTTGTTAATTTGGGTTTTTTTCATTGCTGCATTTTCTACCCTTCATAGGACAGAGTCGTATCCAAAAGCGCTATTGAAAAATGGAACTGTTTAAAAAATTCTACATGCCACTTTGTCGAGCAGAGAAGGCTTCGCAGTTAAAATTCCTTCTCAACTAGTGCTTCAGAGTCTTACATATAATGCTTATTTGCATTTGAAATTTATCTAGCACTCGGTGTTGAAATGGAAACTACCTTGAGTTAATTCTGTGACATAGAAAATCTAAGTCATATTTACTGCCTTCCATTAGTTCTAGTTTTGTCTTTACTAACAATAAGAAAAAAATGTTTAGTTATTTATTTTTACACGTTAGCTGTATCATGCTGTTTTTCAAATAGTCGACTTTTAGATACTTCTTGGTTTGGATTGGTGTGGCTTCCGCTTAGGGGGATCTTATGGATTATTAAAAATTATTTATAATAAGAAGATATTATGTTTTATTTAATAGATTAGTTGCTTATTATTGCGGAAATAGATTGAGGAGTAACTATTTAGTGGATTTAAAATGCACGTCTATTTTTTCAATACTATTTTATATGAATCAAGTACCTGACGTATACCTATTTGTCATTCTATAATAGTTGTGGAATAGAAATTTTAAAAATTGTACAAATCACTGCATGTTCCCTCCCAGTAGTTTTAATTATTATTTAGAGTCCCAAAAATGTTAATTGAAGTTTTGTATACACATACTTAGGTACCTTTCATTTTGTTCGTAAAAGTTTGTATCTGCATAGATGCGTAAAAATGTTGTTTGAAGATTGTAAATTTTCGAATTGTTATATCTCAATTGTTACAAGCTTATTTTCTCTTCCGTCTTATATTGAATATCTTGTATGAATATGTAGTGTTTGTTTTTTTCTTTATTCTATGTATGTATATGTATAAAATGTATTATTGGGGTTGGTGTCAATAGTTCAAAATGAATTACTTATCGGGATTATTAAGTAATTAAAATCTAATTTACTACAGAATTAGTCTAATGCATGATAAATTAATCAAACGAAATAGTTACTCTGTTACTGTCTTCATTTTCTCAAGATAATAAATAAATTCTCAAGACAAAATAGAGAACAGTGCACATCCACTTCCACTTTACGCATACGCACATATTTTCACTTTGTTTTAACACAACAGAATTAGTTATATCATATTTTATCACATAATTGCTGTAATAATTTAAGTAAATTAGTTAAATGTTATAATAAGTTGTATTGTGCTGAGCTTTATTTTGTTAAATCGTGATCGTGAATAACTACTGTCAATCTACATATAATAGTCACGTAAATGTCGGTCTGAAATGTAACTGGTATCGTTACGTCAACTATCCATAATTGGACCCAGTTATGCAAAAAACAGCCATGTGCGTAAAAGTACCAACAGAGTTATAAGCATTTTATTATAAAAAATGAAATAATTATAAAAAATAAACAATACTTATATAAATATTGTTCAATTTTAAAATAACCAGAAAAACAAAACATAACCCAAGTGCAACTATCGACAGAAAAATGCTTATAACCCTGTTGGTACTTTTACGCACATGGCTGTTTTTTGCATAACTGGGTCCAATTGATTTCTTTAATTTACCGTTTATACTAAAACGAGAAGTAAAGTTTTATTTTCTTTCCAGATAACTCTCTCCGTGGTGTTCCTGGTGAAGTTCGTAGATCGGGAGATAAAAAATTCAGAAGGACGACGTGGTACTGCGAATGATTTTAAAGAATATTTATTTTATTTGGTTTGAAAGTTTGAATACAATCAAAATGAACCATTCGGCTCTTATGCATGTAAATTTAAATTGCATTTAATTGTCATTGCTATGATAATTTATTGTTGTAGTCGTGCTCCACTTGTATCGAAAGGCATTGAAAATTGAATATTTATTAACATTTTAAATATATTTACTATCGAGTTTAGTTAAATAGAAATTGTTACTTAATTTTTTTCAACATAAACTTGCCAGTTAAAATCCAATTGCTACAATTGGATAATATATAAAGATTACGAGCAGCAACACTGTAAATAGCTGTAATATACGCTCTTGAATTATGATGTACGTATACAACGGCAGTCCACATTTAAATTCGTTTATATGACATGCTAATTACATCAACATTTTAGTTTTTTAGCGTAGAATGTTATGAAGTTTTTAAAAACGGTGATACGGTTTTTCGCTATATAGTCAATAATATTACAATTCCAAAGAAAATTAGTTATTTTAATAAAGTGTAGGAACTGAAGCTATTATTGATAAATGAAATATCAGGATAGCTATATATATATATATATATATATATATATATATATATATATATATATATATATATATATATATATATATATAATTTTACGATATTTCGATGCATGTGATAAAGTATGAAATAGGTATTCCATTTAATGTTAAGTGTACCTTGAGTCATTATTGTATGGATCATATTGTTATAATAGTTGATGTTTTGTAAATAATTAATTAATGAATAAACATACTATTGTCTATAAAATTATACATCTATAGTTTTAATGTGGATGTACATATCTAAAGATTTTATAATAACTAACTAATAAAATGTCAGTTATATAAAATATAAGTTTATTATTGAGCCCGATTTGAACTTCTTGGCTAGTGTTAATCAATTACAAATGATAGTTCTCCAGAGAGCGATAAAAATTCCAGTTAAAAAATCTGTTCAGAGAAAAAATTTCTCGTGAATCCAATAAGAGAAATAGTTCTACGTCGATAGCAAGCGATGACGCCCGAGTACTTTTGCCATTTGTATTTTAGGCTCAGCTGCTGGAATCTCACGTTTTACCTGTCGATGGCACTTGAATAAAGTTCTACTCTTTTGCTAGAACATTTTCCTGTCCTTATTTACTGTAGTGTATTTTAAGCAGCTTTCTTATTTGTAAGGTACTCGAAATGTTACTGCAGTCCAGCGAGGAAAGATTTTGGTTAACGTTCGCATATAAATAATTATTTTCATATGTATTTTTGGTAAATATTACATTGCTTTGTAATGTCAGTTACCATTTTACAATAATTTACAAAACAATATATATATATATATATATATATATATATATATATATATATATATATATATATATATGTTCCTTTTCGTTAATATAAAACCATATAATAATATATACGAGTATTTATAATAATTTTTTATGCATAGAAATTTTGTAATGAACATTTTCTCTGCTAATGAATTATTCAAAGAATATTATTTATTCCATTTGTTTATAACTTTATTTTTAAACTTAACCTTAAAAACCTCTATAGACTATAATTTTAAGTTCTAAGCATACCAAGAAATTCATCAAAGATTAAATCAACGTATGGTTAGAACCACTTCATTTGTTACGAAAGAAAATAACAAAATGTAAAATGTTTGTTAAAATCCGCAATGCGAAAAATTATAGCTGAGGGAGCGAAGTGGAGCGGAATATTCTACCTGAAGGCTAAATTTTATTGCCCCGCGTTGTTTTCGAACAATTGCATTAATAGTGTATCAAAAGAGCTCGTCGGTCTCTTTACGGTTATGGAGTGGAACGCTGGGATACAATTAAAATTTTAATAATGTAAACCTGAGAAGGAACATTGGAATCCGAGATATCCGACTAGAATGAAAATGAAAACGTAGTATAATATATATTTATTCTAGATATAATATTAATATACATAATACTAGCAAACCCGCGGTTTTGCTCGCACCCTTTTACCTCCTTCCAAAAGTGTAGTAACATTTCCAGATGAGGCCACAGCTAATGCAATACCCAAATTGCGATATAGAAAAACAATTTTTATAGCTAGGTTTCATACAATCTTTCATTCCCTATTTTACCTCCTTATGGGATGCATTTCGAAAAATAATAAAACACATAGGTATTTATTTAATTGTATTGAAGGGTATTAATTAATATCAAGTTTCAAGTAATTCTGATCATATATATATATATATATATATATATATATATATTTGTTTGGTTGTATTTCCCGTAGGAGTGACATAACCTCCCGCCGTAAACAGCCTTTGTCACTCTTGAGCCATCCAACTATCTCTACACAAAAAATCACGCCAATCCGTCGCTCCGTTTCGACGCGAAAGAAGGACAAACAAACACACTTTCACATTTATAATATTAGTATCGATATGGATATAGGATCAACTTATATAGTTATATGAAAATCATTATAGTTTAAAAAACCCTTACAGCCAAAGACGTGTTTCTTCTTAACAAAATATAGTAGTTAACAATAAAGAGCACTTAATTTATTATCTAAAGGTATAATTTTATGTTATGTAAGTTGGTCTAGTTTTATCAAGTGTGCGAGGCATGCAGTCTAGTTTAATGTCAACAGTGACAAACAATTTCGATGTCCTCGAGTGTGGACATTATACTACTTGTTTGAGTAATTCACAAATGGAGGACTTATGCCCGATTTCACCAACGTCACCTAAGTTTTGAGGGATCCCCTAAATATGGTTAGGGGACAGTTTCTATTTCACCGACAGTTAGGGGTCACCTAAATATTAAAAGGCCCCCTAAATTTAGGTGCTCGAAATATGGACTTAAAGACGATCGTAAAACGAAATTTAATTTAGGGGCTAGTTTAGGGGAATTTTAAGCTAGGGATCTCATGCGTAGGTAGTAGCTTATGGGTTGTTGGTGAAATCGGGCATTAAAGTTTTAAATTAATTTTAGTTTTTTTATTAAAATTTATTATTGGCTAGGAATAGTATTCTATATGTATAAAAATTGAAATTTAAATGAAGATTTCTTTACATGTGTTGCTTTTTGTTAATGTTCAATTATAACTTATGACGGGTTTTTGTAAAACGAATATACTAGTTTAAAAATATATATAGCAAATTTCAGTATAACAAATATTTTGCAATATATGTATATTAAAGGTTTCAGCCTTCAATTAAATAAAAAAATAAACACAGCAAAAGGTGCTTCTATGAAAATATTTTTTTCTTAATAAATTAACAAGCAATTTTAAAAATACGAGGTCTGATCAGGAAGCAAAATAAAGCAGTTCAAAAAGATGGCGTAATAACGAGTTGTTGTTGTTTGTGTGAAAATCAGGACAAAAAATGCTGTTTGCATCGTCTGATTTATTTATCCAGGTTCATAGCGGTGATAACCACCGATATTTGTTTTTGCATTTTGTTACTTCGTGGGCACATATTACATTAATAAAAGATGTTCTAGTCCATTTGATATTGCGTTGATTAGCGACATCTAGACTATATCTAACAGAACTACCTGCAGTGAGTTACAGTGAACGACCGCGGACACGCCGGCGTTACAGTTAACAATAGATTTTTTACAAATTTAATTAATTTCTTAGAAATTTACCTGGAGGTGATAAAATATAGGGAAGGAAAAATAGACTAATAAATAAGTATGTAGAATAAGTAGCTCGGTAGGTGAATTATTTTTTTGTTAGCATACAGAAACTCCTGCACCTAAAGATATTTCTTTTACCTTAAAGACTCTTGAACTTAAAAATCGTTCGGATTTAAAAGAACAAGTTTACAGCTAGGCAGGTGTAATTTTTTTCCCTATAGAAACTCCTCCATCTCAAAATCACTTATTTTACATTAGAAAATAAGAAAGTGGTAAACCGTTCAAGCCAACAATAATCAGACGAATAATATTTTTTTATTCATCCGATTATCGGACAAATAGCAATATCCGTCCTATTAAAGTACGAATAATATTTTTTTATTCGTCCTTATTTTAAGTACGTATACTGTATAGCAACAGCCATAGAAATAACTTGATATATATTTCAAATTCTTGTAATTTCGGCCCCTTTTTATATAAAAATATAGAGAATAATTTAGAAATAAATTTATAATAATTATCATAAAATTATTATTTATAATAATTATATCGATAACTAACAAAATACTTAAAAATATACCATACGAACTCTGTTAAAAAACCTTTGGTATATTTCTTTAAATTATTTTTGTTTTTAGTTAGCAATTATATAGAAGACGTAAAATGACGTGTTGCGGATAGAAAGCTTTACGGCGCCATTTCTCTGAGCCCGACTTGTTTCGACAGGAGTTCTTTGGCGGCATCTTTAACACTCCCTCGAGGATTCATTTATATATTCGCAACACGGAGGCGGCAATAAAACTGCGTTATCCCAGTCATTATTTAGTCATCACCCGGCCGCTCTACCTTAGCTATAAACGTAAAATGCAACTGAATTACTCTTACACTGCAGTTTTATATGTACAGATGAATTTAGTGCTAGCCAAGAAGTCTTTACGACGAAAGTGCGAAAAACATGGCGTCTCTTAGGTATATTATTCTTTTTATTCTTGGCATATTTTAATATAATACTATTTTAGAGACAACCATTTAGTTAAAATAAATAATATATAATATAATAGAGATATATCTTATTTTAAAATTGATTTCTAACTAAGCACAACACATTTTGACAACAGCACAACAATTTCTTGATATTCAAATCATTTGATAACATTATAAACAAAATTGTCATTGAGTGCAAATAACAATATAAATGAGACGGAAATGAAATTTGTAATAATCTAGTTATAAGTTTGTTTGCTGAGTTCGGTGTTCGAGTTTTGAAACATTGTGAAACGTTAGTAAATGTCTCGGTCAGAGCCGGTTACGAGCTAGCCATTTTATGAGGCGGCCCCGGGCGCCGTTGCTAA